AATACTTTGCATAGATTGTAAGAAAGCTAGGGCTAAGACAGGGAGAAGTATAGGATCTGCCACTGGATGCATAGCATCCAGCAGTAAAGAAACAAGGCTTGAGTATCAAGAACTACAGTAAAAGATGTACCCTGTGAGGCTAATGGAGCTGCCTCTCTGTAAGCACCAGTGTCCTCATGAACCTGGCTCACAAGGCTGTGTCCATGGGAGACTCCCATCTGAGCTCACAATCCTCAATACCTGAAGCCCTGTCTATGAGCCAAGGAAAACGAAGAGATGGCAACACTTGAACGCAAGCAGCCAAAAGTGGAGAATGTGAGCCATGCAAGAACAATGCCACAGAAAGGGGGAAAATGGGCCCAAGTTCTCACCGTGCTGTTTCGGACATCTATGCTGGGAAATTTTTTGTTGATGTACTTGAGACTTGATTCCATGGACTTTTCCAGTAAGAAAGGTGGTTTAGATTTTGGATCTGAACAGGTCTGCACAGACAAAAACAAAATATAACCACCATACTGTATTTCCACTTAGATACAAATCTCTATCTGAATCATTCATTCCTACTGTCTTTCTTGGGAATGGCTGTCTGGGAATTCACTATAAAAGCATGAGTATAGGTTAGAACCAAGTTCCAGACAGCGAACTAGCACCCCGAAGAGCTAACAACTTGTCATCTTGTCTTAACAGAGGCTTGGTTCTAACCTAGAGAGGAAGCCGCTTCCCCACCCCTGCACTGAAGCCGGAAGTATCAAAAAAAAAAAGTGCCTGCTCAAAAGTTGGACTTTATATAAAGCTCAGTGTCACAGTTCCCTCCAATATGTGAGGGGCTCGCCCCAAGAGGCTTTTATAGATGACACGAGGACATAGAAACCGTATTCCTGGTGTGTCACTACAAGGGCACAAATGCCCCTTCCCATAAGGCCCTTCTTCTCTCTCCCAGGAGAGTCTCAAAATTATCTATACCTACATCTCTACTTCCTACAGCTTGCCCAGCCCCCGGCTCACCTCTCAACATCTGTTTTGCCCAGTTTCATAGTTTCTGCCCTAAACACAGGCACACACATGCACCCACACAGCATGGATAGCCATAAAGTATCTTAGAAGACACCCACCTCCTTTAAAAACATCCATTTAGGGAAATCATTCCACAAAAACAAAAACCCAACTTGAAAACTCAAAAAGTAGAAGAATTAGCAATAAATAGACCCAAAACTCTAAATCCGAGACCTTATCCAAGTCATTCAGAACATGCTCTCACCCCCATCCCCACCCCTCCCTCAGTCTTTAGGGGAAGATGATGCTCTCGAACAGGAAGAAGCCATACCTAGAAAGGGCTAGCCTTAAAAAGAAGCCTCCCTCTGTCTCCCCAGACTGAGGGACCTATACTGTCTGAGTGGCTGAGAGCCACTTAAAGCAGTGGGGGAGAAACAGGATTGACTATTGGGCCTGCAGGCCTCCAGGCTCCTGCCCTGATTCAATAAAACGACCCGTGCTTACCTTCTTGATGTTGTACATACGGATGAGAACCCCCTGACCTCGGTCATTCAGGATAGTGAGCTTCTCTGCTAATTTATGCTGGTAGGCAGAGGTCAAAGACATGATGGCCACCGAGAAAGAGGAACATCCAGATGGAAGACACAATCGCCCCAAATAGTCTCAGCCTGGATGGCACCGCCCTTTTTGTAGAAGGACCCAGCCTAGTTGGTGTAACAGGCTTCCGGGTGCCTCTGCAATTGGTTCATGGGGAATAGCGGTCATGAGGCTCACAGGCCTTCACAGCCTCTTGTGCTTCCTCCTGCACCCTCAGCAGAGGAGACTTCCTCTTTCTGGTTGTGCAGCACTTGGTAAGCAGTGGGTGGAGGCTGCGGAAAGGAACAGGCTTTCAAGGCTCCTCACAAAGCAGCGCCTTTGACTTTACCCCTCCCCAAGTGACCCAGCCAGATATTTATCACCAGCCCCATGCACCTCTACCCTTTCCCTTTTATATCCCCATCAAGAATGCCTCTTCTTTTCTACTGACCCTTACGGCCCAGCATCCTTTAGGACCTGGGTCAGATTCCATCTCTACCTATTCCATTCAATTTTGTGTTCTATTCTACTCTATTTTATGCATAAATCTATTTATATACATGATTGGGAGGGTTGAGAAAGAGTCTTGTGAACTCCAGGCTATACTCAATCTATTTCCTTGTGTAGTTGAGAATGACCTTCAACCTCTGATCTGCCTGCCTGTACCTTCAGAGTGCCGAGATTACAGTCATGTACCATCAGACCTAGCTTCCTTGTTATATTTTTAAGCATATGCCTTCTCTCTCCCACCCACATCAGATGCTCCTCCCTAATGATAGGTATAATACCTAATATTAATACCCTTTGTAATATCTAGTTCAGTGATTCTGGAAGTGTGGTCCAGCAGGAGCACTCTAGAAACTTTCTAGATTATACGAAAAATAAAATGTTTTAAAAGAAGCATACTAAATATGCAAAATCTTAGCCAGGTGGTGGTAGCACTCAGGAGGCAAACACAGGTGGATCTCTGTGAGTTCCAGGACAGTTAGGGTACACAGTGAAACCCTGTATCAAACACACACACACACAAAGTATCCAAATAAGGGAATAGACCTTAATGGCTAGCTTTAGGGTGTAATTATGGTTTATAAGGAGAGGGCAGGGTAAAAGGCAAGGCCTGCCAGTCCATGTTTGCCATAAGCAGGCCTGCTAGAGCCCTTCAGAACCTGTCTCAGATATAACACTAAAAATGTATTGAATTGTTAAGACAATTTAATCTTTTTTATCAAGTTAGATTAAAAAAAAATAAGCCCCACAATGAGAAACCAGATTAATTAGCAAGAAAAAAATTAACAATGATTCTTGAATCTTAGCTGTTTGGATAAATTTCAGCACTGAGATAATTCTTACATCCCAACCAACCCTCAAACCTCTCTACCTAAAGAAGCTCTCAACTTATTTCAAGTTTCTTTCACGCTAGAGAGTAAAAGATTCTGGGAAATTCGAGGTCAGGTATCCTGCACCTGTTTCCTTCCTGCAGCCTTTTCTCTGCCTCTTTAATCATCCCATTTAGTTCCATACCCAGAGCTTTCCTGTGTGCCCGAAATTCTGGGTGGGGTCGGGGAAAGAAGTCAGGAATGATCAACGTTTATCATCCAAAGAACTTAGCATGCTTGCTCCTGAGAAAAGGTTTTGTTTTGAAGAAACAATCAAATGTTTAAGATATGAAATTTCAAACATCTCTGAGGGAGGCTTTGCTTTTTTAGAAAAGAGACTGTCTTCGTTTATTTAGAGGGGCCTCAAATGCTATGAGCCTGGAGAAACACAATGAGGGCCCTGAAGATTTAAACCACCTGATGTTATTAAGGAAGACCAGGTTCTACTGAAGAAGTCTTTGGGCTCTATTGGTCTTTTATCTTGACAGGGAAGGATAAATAGCAGGCTGTCCGAGGCAGCTAAGCAGCCCAGCCACAGCCTCCACAGGGTCAGTATCTTCCTGTTGTCTCTTTCTCACTTATATTTTTGTCCTTGTCCAAACAAATTAGTTAAAGATTCTCTATGCCAAACCAATCTTGTTTTCTGCCACCACTAATATATACTGCCTAATCAAATGGGTACCATGGTTTCTGTCTTCTGAGAGTGCACTATGTTTGTCTCTGCCTTCATTTGTATATGCTTTTCCTATTCTGAACTAAATCCTAGTCAAACTTCAGAGTTTTGCTCGACATCCCTAAGCCTGAAAAACAGCTTGAATTTGCAGGAAAATGGATGGAACTCGAAAACATTATTTTGAGTGAGGTAACCCAGACACAGAAAGACAATTACCACATGTACTCACTCATAGGTGGGTTTTTTTTTTTTTCAGGAAGTGAATATTTTTATTGGAAACAGTGACTCTGAGAGGAAATTAACCTCAGGTAAGAACTCTTTAAGCACAGTTCAAGGCCTTACCAGCAAAACTGTTACAAATAAATTCAGCATTTTCTGATTCATTTTAAAGATGTGTGTGTGTGTGTGTGTGTGTGCGCGCGCGCGCGCGCGCGCGCATACTAGTGAGTGAAGGAGTGAGGTCCTTCTGGAGCTGGCATTACAGGCACTTGTGGACTGTCTGAGGGTGATGGCGTTGAATTCGGGTCTTTTGGAAGAGTAATGCATGCTTTTAATCATAGGTGGTTTTTAAACATAAAGCAAAGAAAGCCAGCTTACAAACCACAATCCCAGGGAACTTAGACAACAGTGTGGACACTAAGAGATACTTACATAAATATAATCTACATGGGAATTAGAAAGTATAAAAAGACAAGATTTCCTGAGTAAACTGGGAGCATGGGGACCTTGGGGGAGGGTTGAAGCGGGGAGGGGAGAGGCAGACAGGGGAGCAGAGAAAAATGTAGAGCTCAATAAATATCAATAAAAATATATAAAAATGATGATAATCCCTTATACAACTATGGAAGTGATTAAATGATTTGTTACATGTGTGTATGTTTAGCCCAGGGCCTAGTAGATTAGATTCAGCATATCAAAAATAAACTCAAATTTTGATTTTTGAAAGTGTGCTGAGTTTGTCCTTTCACTTACAGAATTCTGTATTTGGCTCCGCATAAAGAAAAGGGGCACGTTAAAAGATAGGACTTATTGTGGCAACAGGTAGTCTTTGGGGACATATCAAAAAGATTATTCTTCAGGTCCTTCTGTGAACTTGAAGAACCCTTCTAAAAATATCTATTTATCCCAGAGCAAGGCCTAGCAATGGTGAGTGTAGCCTCATAACCTAGTAACTATCAACCAGAATTCTCTGAGGAACTCTTAAAGCCACAGACAGCCAACCTGCACTCTGAAGACTCTGATCCAATAGTTCTGGAATGGCCCCAAAGGATCTGTCCCTTTAAAATTCCTAATGATTCCCATGTGGCAACCAGACTGAGAACCACTCCTCTGAGACTTTACTATGACATCAAAACTTCCCAACATGCTGAGAAACGTGTACTGAGCAGAAGGCTTGGACAGCAACTGATTCCCTGGGTAACCGGAGGAGAGTGCTGTGCTTTCTGTCTTTTCAAACTTCTTTCGTTGATACTCCCCTTGGGATTGAGGGACAGTGCTTGGAGAACTGGGTAAGTCTCCCTGTCCTTCTGCCAGGTTTACGTATGAAGGTAGCTTTGAGGAGTCTGCCTGTATCACACTCATAGCCACCCTCTATGGGAAATGTTTTGGTTAATGAACAAACTAATATCAGCTGTTGACACTGAATCCTCCAGCAATCTTTGTTTATTAACACCAGACTTATCAGTGTGACCAAAATTCATACTTTTCCTTGGTCACTGGCCGAAATAACAGATTTTCTGAAGGTTACATATAGATATTAAGACACATTTTCCATTATCCTTCTATTTTTATTTTTTCTCTTTTTTTGTTTTTTTTTTTTATTTTTGTTGTTATTGTCTGTCTCCCTCCCTCCCTCCCTCCCTTCCTTCCAGACATGATTTTTCTATGTAACAGCTCTGGCTGTTTGTAGACCCCTTTATAGACCAGGCTAGCTTCCATCCACCTGCCTCTGCCCCCCAAATGCTGGGTTTTAAGGCCTGTGCCACCACTTACCAGATCTGTCATCTTTTTATAATCTGAAGATAATCATATATAGTAATGGATTTTACTAGCTTTAATTTTCCAGAAAGTCAACTTACTTTAAGTATCCGTGGCTCAAGTATCATCATTAGTAAGCAGTGAAGGCATAAAGAATCACTTTGGTTTGTGTTCCCCAAAACTACCTGAGTCTAAATCCCTGATTTAATCGCCAAAATGCCGTCAGGAAAATCTGCTGTATAACAGTCTAGCTCTGTGCCTTCTGTCTGACAGTGCTCTAGGCACGGTGCACAGTCAAATTGAAACGAGCTATTCTAGGGCACTTTCTATCCCCATTGCTTATGCCACTCTGCCTTGATATTGTTTTCTGTCACACACACCACCACCAAACTATACATCACTGTTTTGCAGAAATCTCAGCTATAACTGTTGCCTAGAAACCTGGAAGTCCTTGAAATAAATGTCTGCTTAGATAGCTAAAGACGCTAGCCATAGGGGAGAGTGGGCCTCCTATTGGCAGTAAAACGCAGCAGCTTTGAGATGGTTTATTTTTAGCTCACTTCTAGGAGTTAACATCCACAAGTTTAGACACTTCAGGCTAACATTCTTAGGTAAATGTAAGTGGCCTAAACTCAGACATTATATTGTGGTTCTTCTGATTTTTTCTCAGTGGTTATATTGAAAGTAGCTCAGCTTTAGAAAAGCTGGGGGGAGGGGAGAGTGAGGAACACTAAAGGAACCAGCTACCCAAATCTTGATTAAATAGTGCACAAATGTTGAATTTCATCATAGTCGGGTCTGTGATGTTTCCAGGGATTCTTACCTGCTTAATAATATATTTGTGAAGTAAGAGTTCTTTTTAAAGCAACCTATTAGTATGTAGAATGTCAAATTTTGGCCTCCCAGAACAAGGAAGCAGAGAGTTTACTCCATCGTCTAACCAGCTAAAACTATTGCTTTTGTTATTCAAATATGTCTTTGTGAGTGGTGTGTATATGTGTGCACACACACCATCTTGGGATACCTGTGTGTGTGTAAGAAGGTGTGGGATCCCTAGGAATGGGCGTTACCAGCATTTGTCAGTCACCCAGTTTGGGTGTTGGAATCTGAACTCCTTAACTTCATGATTGAGCAGAAACCAATCTTAATTGTGAACTATCTCTTCAGCCCCCATACCACATTGCTTTTAAGAATAGAAAATAGCCGGGTAGTGGTGGCGCACGCCTTTAATCCCAGCACTCGGGAGACAGAGGCAGGTGGATCTCTGTGAGTTCAAGACCAGCCTGGTCTACAAGACTACAAGAGCTAGTTCCAGGACAGGCTCCAAAGCTACAGAGAAACCCTGTCTCAAAAAACAAAAACAAAACAAAACAAACAAACAAAAACCCAAAGAATAGAAAATAGGTCTATGTCAAGACAACCTGACCTCAAGTGGTAATCTTTTCTTTTCCAACCTATGATGCCTGCCTTTTAGGACCAATGGAGTTAGAAGCCATAGAACTCTGTCCTTATGACCCAAACCACAGGATACCAGCCAGCAGGTTACAATACCATCTGGCATCATGCAAAAAGGTAAGTTTCCCCAATAAAAGCTGAGGAAATTTTTTCAGAATAGTTTTCCTTTGGTTTGGTTTTTTGCTTCCACTCACAACTAGAAACTAGTCATTCTTAAAGCTGAGACATATCTCTTCAGCATTTTCAGAAATGAGTGGAGGATAGAATATAAGCAAAATATAACATGAATTTTTCCTTCTAGAAAAATCCGAAGATAGCTAAAAAGATGGCTAACTGCAAATATAACGCTTGTCATGTGGTCCCAATCAAAAGGCTCAAGGAACATGAGGCCAACTGTGTCAACAGAAGTGCAGTTGATGATGGTGAGCTTTTCATTCGAGAGCGTGTAGGCAATACCAGATTCTGTTTCCTACACCCACAGCCCAGAGTTACTTAGAAGCCTTAGCTACCCAGCTGTTAAAAATTGTCTATTCTACTTCAACACCTTTTCTGCTTTGTTTCAGAGCCCCTTAATCTTCCAAAGGTCACTCCCCCAAGTTTTGAAGGAAATGAAAACTCCAATGCTGGCGATCAGATTACTGACCCTGACGTCTGGAATGTGGGTGAGCAAGGGTGAAACTGAACACAGCTGTGAACAGAAGTGCTCTTTAGAACTAGCACAGTAAACACAACCCTGAGTAATAAATCTTTATGCTTATCACACAACCCTTCACTACATTAGATTACTAAGTTTAAGACCTGTCTCTAGAGGGGTGGCCCACTTAGAAACAGTAGTCTCACTGAGCTACAAACCAGCATCCCATGGCCGCAGCGTTTGACCAGGACTGAGCTTCATCAGCCAAGGTGGCCATACTTTGTATGACCTCCTTATTTGCATAGCAGAAATTGTGCAACCGGGAGTTTCAGACCCAGCAGCTCACATTAAGGTCCTAGTGTCATATCCTAGTGTCACTGGCCAAGCTAGACGACCTTCAGTCACATGATGCAAATAGCATGCTAGGAAATTACCACAAACTGGCCCTAACCAAACCAGTACATCCCCCAGCAGGAGACACTCCCACCTGCTCCCCATGTGGTTCATAGCCTGTGCTACAGTAATGTTATTACTGCTAGAATCATCTGAGAAGAGGGAACCACAATTGAGAAAATGCTCCATAAGATCAGAGTGTAGGTAAGCCTGCAGGGCATTTTCTTGATTGTGATTGATGTTGAAGGGTTCAGCCCATTGTTGGTGGTACCACTCCTGGGCAGGTGGTTCTGTGTTCTATAAGAAAACAGGCTGAAGGCCTGGCAGTGGTGATACATGTGTTTAAGCACTCAGGAGGCAGAAGCAGGTAGATCTCTGTGAGTTCAAGGCCAACCTGGTCTACAGAGTTCCAAAATGGCCAGGGCCACACATAGAAAACCTGTCTTCAAAAACAGAGAGACAGAGAGAGAGCACAGTCTGCAAGCTAGCAAGTGGCACTCCATCATGGCCTCTGCTTTAGCTCCTGTCTCCAGGATCCTGTCCTAACTCCCCTCACTGGTATACTGTCACCTGAAAATGTATGGAAATAAACCCTGTCCTCCCCAAGGTGATTTTATTCATTGTCACAGTAATAAAAACCCTAAGACAGAAATTCAGTGGATAACAACATGAGAATACAAACTTACTGCTGTCAACATTCCAAATTTAGCTTCCAAAGATGACACAAAGGAGAATGGAAAGGTACAACTGTCTTTAACTACCTAGTTTGAGAAGATACTTCTGTTTACATTCCCCTGGGAAAAGTAAGGTGGTGGACTTGTGGTCCCTGAAGAGCAGCTGCTTCCCAGCAACAGCTACATAAGGGAGACTGAGAAAAGCCCTGCTACCAACAAGCTGATAATGCTCAGGATTTGTTTCTTCTTCCTTGTTCTTCACTTTCTAGATCATATGCATCATTCTCCTTCATTTGTTCTTGAGACGTTTGCTCCGAAAAAGCTGGTTTGTGAAAGGTAAGTCAAACTGTATGCTATCACCATCATTCAAGGTAATAAGTTGACTTTTGAAAATGTTTTTTATTTGCTTGCCTGTTTAGAATGGCCAGGGTATTTGTGGGCAAGCCCGAGAACAACCTGTTGCCACCAGTTTTCTCCACTCACCTAATGGATTCTGGATTTTACACTCAGGTTTTAAGGCTTGGCAGTATGTGGTTTGGCCCACTCAGCCATCTCACCAGTCCTAAAGATGAACATTCAAAGAGAAGATGGCCATTAGACCTTAGACTCAAAATGCCTGACTGTCACTAACTTAAAAGATTGGTGATCAGGGCTGTTAGAGTGGTTCGGGTAGTAAATGCTTGCTGTCCAAACTAGACGACCTGAATTTAGATCCCAGACCCATGTAAAATACTCAGGAATGGTAGTGTTCACCTATAATCAGAGCACTGAGAAAGCAGACAGGAGGTTCCCTGAAACTTGCTGGCCAGGTAGCCTGACCAAATCAGTAAGCTCCAGGTTCAATAAGAGATCTCATATCTAAAAAGCAAATGATAATAAGGTGGTAGTCTAGTGATATGTTCCAATGAACACGGTGCCTATTGCCATGCCTGGCAGCCTGCATTCACTCCCTAAGAGCCAAGTGATAGATGAACTCTCCCATAAGTTTTCCTCTGACCTACACACACACAGACACACACAATGACTCAGCAGTTAAGAGCACTCGATGCTCTTCCAGAAGACCCAGGTTTGATTCCCAGCCCCCACAGCAGATCACAGCCATCTGTAACTGCAATTCTAGGAATCAACATTTCCTTCTGGTCTCCATGGTCATGAAGCACACACTTGGTGCACAGACATAAATGCAGACAAACACCCATATATATCAAATTTTACATTTTTTAAATAAGCAAGGTAGAAAACAGTTGAAATATCCAACACTGATCTGTTGTTGGATACAGATCACGCACACACACACACACACACACACACACACACACAATTACATATTACCACATACACACACATAAATGTGCATGGTTCTGGGTACTTTCCTTTGTTCACCTGGGACTATAATCAATCAAGGCCTTGTATATACAAAATAATTGTGTAAAGAATAAAAGACCAGGCTGGAGAGATGGCTCAGAGGTTAAGAGCACTGACTGCTCTTCCAGAGGTCCTGAGTTCAAGTCCAGCAACCACATGGTGGCTCACAACCATCTGTAATGAGATCTGGTGCCCTCTTCTGGTCGGCAAGCATACAGATAGAACCCTGTATATATAATAAATAAATCTTTAAATAAATAAATAAATAAATAAAAGACCAACTTCTCAAACTTAAGGGAACCAGCTCTGCACAAATAGCTCAGTGTCCCTAGCCAAACAAGCTTGGAGAGCACATACCAGGGTTCCAGAGGCCACTGGTGGAGTCACATGAGAAGTGAAGGCATAAAGGACAATATGAAACAAAAGACAGAAATTAAATGATTCCTACTATAACCCTGAGTAATATCAATTATGCTGGATAATGTTGCTCTGACTGCCTGGTACTGGATATATCCGTTCATTCCTCATTCCTGCTTCCCTGTTAACTTGCTTCTTGTGGTTCTCTCCTATAGTGACTCAAGAGACCTACAACAGGCTGATAAGTATCCTAGCAGCTACAAGTCCTGGGGAAGAGGTAATATAACCTTTGTCAAATTAATATCAAAGTTTTAACATTGTGTTCTAAACTTTCAAAGATTCTTAGACAAACCTTTCTTCTTTTAAAAAAAAAAAAGGAAAAAGAAAGAAAGAAAAGCTATTGGTATAGTCACACACCTTTAAGCCCCAAACCTAGAAGGCAGAAGCAGGCAGATCTCTGTGAGTTCAAGTCCACCCTGGTCTACATAATAAGTTCCAGGTCAGTCAGGGTTACACAATAAGACCCCATCTCAAAAAATAATTTATTAAAATATTGGTCTGGGAATTCAGCTCAATGATAGTGCTCCTGTCTCATATGCACTTGGTACAGGTTCAACACCTATAAAAATTCGTATTATTCTGTTCCTCCTCAACCCACAATAGGATACAGGGAAAGTCCTAGGGACTTCAGATCAGACACTGGAGAAAAGGCTGTGAAAAGCTGTTCTTAAATGCTTCTGCCACACCTCAAGCTATGAAAATGACACTATTTCAATCTTTTTTTTTCTCCCTACAGGTCAGAAAAACTGATGGAGACATTGCAAATTAAAGCGCCAGCAAACAAATAGAAGTTGTTTTTAAATGTTAGGAAAAATCTCAGCTTTTAAATAAACTCTTATGCTTGCCATCTTAACATGTTTTTATCTAAATAAAGAATATTTTCTTTTGACAAACTTAATTTTATATTCATCCTTGTTTTCATATCTGCATGCATAAGTCACCTGAAGGCTACAGAGCTCGATTGCCTATTTCTATTATTAGAAGGGGAATTACCATCAGTCTAGGGGCTCTGAAACTATTCCAAAGTTAGATTACTCATTCCCCAAGTTTTTCCTCACTTACTGCCATGTATCACGACCCTCCAGTCACCCTTCTTCAATCTGCTATGCAGATATTCCATGCTTTTAAAGGATATATTTTTTATGGCAAGCTGGGTTTGGAACATGGCTCTAAATCTACCTTCCTACCTCTGCCAGCTCAGTTTGTTCTCAGCTTATTATTCCTGACTTTTCATTCTGCTCAGTTTTAAATGTCCCCCTCCACCCTTTAGTCAAAGCCCTGCTCCAGATTTCAAGTCCGTCTCCTTTGCCACTGTCTCCTTCAGTGATGTCTAACTTGGCAGTTAGACAACTTTCTCCTTTCTACCTAGCTAATGCCATCAATCTCAAGAAAGGTGCGAATTGTGTGGTTTTTGTATTTCCCATACAACCCTCCCTTCTACAATCCTCCCTTCCCCTCTTCCACAGGGTTCCACCTAATGTTTGGGTGTGGGTCTCTGCATCTGCCTGGCACTGTGTGTAAAGCAAACCCAAATGCTGGCTTTTCTACTAATACAAGGTCCCATTGTAATCCAGGGTGGCAAGCCAACATGGACTTCTTTTAAACTTTATTTTTAAAATATTTTTTAATTTATTCTTCTCTCATGCAATCCATCCCCACCCCAGCCTTCCTTCCCTCCACTCCTCCCAGTCCTTACCCCACCTCCTATCTCACCCAGGTCCACTGCTGCTCCATTTCCCTTCAGGAAAGAAGAGGCCTCCCAGTGATATCAACAGAACACTGCACAACAAGATGCAATAAAACAAGGCACAAATCCTCACATCAAGGCTGAACAAGGCCTCCCGATAAAAAAAAGGTCCCAAGAGCAGGCAAAAGAGAGACAGCCCCTCTTCCACTGTTAGGAGTCCCACAAACACCAAGATAAACATAGCATGTCAGCAGAGAATCTAGTGCAAACCCATGCGAGTTTCATGATTGCTGCCTTGGTCTCTGTAAGTCCCTGTGAGCCCTGCTTAGTTGATTCTGTTGTGGCTGCTCTCTCCAGTGTTCTTGACCCCTCTGGCTTCTACAATCCCACCTTCCCCTCTTCCGCAGCGTTCCACCTAATGTTTGGGTGTGAGTCTCCGCATCTGCTCCCATCAACTGCTGAAGGAAGCCTTTTAGATGACGATTGGACTAGGCACCAATCTATGGGTATAGCAGAATATTGCTAGGAATCATTACATTGACTTTTTTGGGAGGTGAGGAGGGTTAGCTCAGCTGTATCTCATTATTGAATACCCGTCTTTTTAAAATAATGACACTGGGAGTTTTTGTCTGTTTATTTTAGTTTGGGTTTTCTAGTTTGTTGAGTAATCTAGACCTAGTCAGACTTAAAAACATGCTGCTGGCAGAGCAGAACTGGCCCTGGGCCTTGCTGCCTGCTACATTGGGTGAGCTAGCTGGGGCAGTGCTGAAGAGCTCACCCTGGTGGTGACAATGATGAAGGACAATTGGCGGGCTGAGCAACCCAGCTAGCACTCAGGCCCAGAACCAGGCTATGAATTGGCCCGCCCAAATATCCATCTCAGCTATGAATTGTTGGAGCATGTGAAGGGGCTGGATCTACAGATCCAAAGCTACAGAAGCCCCATGATACAGGACAACAGGATACCCAGAAGGAGTCCCAGTAAGGGCCCAGTATCAATAGAGTAACAGAACCAGAAGCCTAGAGCCAGACCAATAATCCATTGCAAAGAACAGTTATAAGTAAAGATGAATGGACTAAGGTGTATATGGTGTGACTCATTGGACCACACTACAGCTTCCATGCCAAAGCTTTCTTTTATTTCTTTTCTATGTTTTATTTGTTTTTTTTTTCTTTGTTGGGGGGGTGCTACTGTTTTGTTTTAAATTTTGTTTGGGGGCAGAGGGCAGAGGTGGGGAAATAGGAAGATTAATGGGATCAGGATGCATGATGTAAAATCCACAAAGACTCAATAAGTTTAAAACAATATGCATGGGGGCAGTGGTAGCGCACGCCTTTAATCCTAGCATTTGGGAAGCAGAGGCAGGTGGACACCAGCCTGCTCTACAAAGCAAGTTAGAGGACAGCCAAGGCTACGCAGAGGGTCCCTGTCTTGAATCTCCTGCCCCCAGGAAAAAAAATATTATCATCGTCAGATGAACACCTACCGCCTTTTGAGGCTCAGCCCTGCACAAGTTTCCTAGAATCTGTTCAAATGATCTTTTTTCTCCAATTATGGCAAAACTGAAGGAAACTGAACAGCTATTTAATATCCCATATGTCCTCCTACACACGTTATACAAAGGAGACCTACTGATGTTCACCCTTAAATTTGTATAACATTAACACTTTTGTTTTTGAGAATTTTTCAGTACATAGTACAAGCTAGCCTCAAACTCAAAATTCTCCTGTCTCAGCTTCCTGAGCACTAGAATCACAGTTGTTTACCACTTTGTTTTTATTAGCCAACCTTATTTTGAACTCAAATTAAAGTGAGCCTCCTCACTTCCAAGTAGTCTAGGACTATAGACATTTCCAACTGTACTCAGTTTGCTCTTATTTCCTAACTAAGGAATTACACGTTTCAATGTGTTGTAGTTTAGGGGTTTTGTTTATGTTGTATACATATATGTGTGTAGACATATATTCAATTTTGGATAATAATCTCAGCTAACTCCTAGAATAACCCTGGTATAAATTACTTGGTCTCATTGTTTTTCCATTTTCAAATACTATCAACCTAGGCAGTAAAAAAACAGCCTGAAAGAAAACTCAGCAGGGATCTCAGATAAAGCATAAATTTGTTTGCCTTGAAAGGGAATGAACAAAGCACTGAGGAACAGGACAGATGTGTGGTGCACCTTTGTTTCCAAGTCATCACTGCAGGACAGCTTCACCTTTGTCTGTTGAGTCAGTGGGCTTGCCCGGTGGTGCTAATGGAGCAGTTGTCACCTGAGAACTCTGCCATTGTGACAAGGAAGGCATCAGACTATAGGAAAGCCTACTTGAGGTTCTCCCTGCTCCCATTCTCTCAAGCTCTCAGCTTTCTCTGAAACTTCAATCTGTAAGTATCTAAATGAAAATAGTTATGGGTCATAGCAACAGTGACAAAAATTGCACCAGATCTCTGAAAAGAAAATTAGTTCAAACCACTCTGGTCCCACTAATTCTGCATGAATGATATTGTGATAAACTCAAAATTCATAAGATCTCATAAGAATTGTTTTAAAGTAGTGGTGGTGCATGCCTTTAATCCCAGTACTCAGGAGGCCGAGGCAGGTGGATCTCTGTGAGTTTGACGCTATCCTGGTCTACAGAGTGGGTTCAAAAACAACAAAAACAATTGTTTAAGCTGTTTTCTAATGATCTGAAGTGAACTTGGAAAAAAAATTAGCTTTTCCTAAAATGCTTTGTGCTAAGTTTACAATGAAGCAATTCTCTCAGAAAAAGCATTTACCAGCTTGCTCCTATGACTCATCCCCACCATCCAGGTGAAAGAAATGCTTTCGCAAATTTTCTTAGTCTGGCTGCATATTAGAATCATCTAGGTAAGTTTTTAAAAATAGCTATGCCTAGAGCCAGGCGGTGGTGGCACACACCTTTAACCCCACCACTCAGGAGGCACAGGCAGGAGGATCTCTGTGAGTTCGAGGCCAGCCTAGTCCACAGAGTGCGTTCCCAGGACAGCTAGGGCTGTCAAACAGAGAAACCCTGTCTTGAAAAAAAAAATTACTATGCCTGGCTCTTTTCTGATTAATGGGTCTAAGACAGGAATTTACATGTTCTCTTTTGGGGGAAGGGAGTTGTTTTGGTTTGGTTTGGGGTTTTGTTTTTAGTTTTTTGGGGGTGTTTTGTTTTTTGAGAAAGGATTTCTCAGAGTATGTAGTCCTGGCTATCCTGGAACTCAAGCTGTAGACCAGGCTGGTCACAAACTCAGAGGTTCACCTACCTCTGCCTCCCAAGTGCTGGGATTAAAGGTGTGGGCCACCACCACCAAGCTACAAGCTACACGGTATGTCTTAAGTACTCCCCAAATGATTCCAATGTGCAGACATGACCAAGAATCATTATCCTACTAGGGCTGGAGAGATGGCTCAGAGGTTGAGAACTGGCTGCTCTACCAGAGGTCCTGAGTTCAATTCCCAGCAACCACATGGTAGCTCAAAATTATCTGTAATGAGTTAATGAGTGTAATAAGATCAGGTGCCTTCTTCTGGTGTGCAAGTATACATGTAGGCAGAACACTATATACATAACAAATAAATAAATCTAAAAAAAAAAAAAAAGAATGACCAGTCTATCGTCGGTCCATCTCCCATCCACAACCTATTTCTTCCTAGGTTTGGGTTGGTTGGTTGGTGGCCCTCCCTGACTGGTGCCGCTTTATCAAGGTCAGTGCTCTGATCTCAAGTTACACCCCTTGTTCTCTCATTTAATCCTATGTGCAACTATACAGTATAAAAGGTGTAATCTTTTCTCAATTAAATGCTGCTGGCAGCCACTCCGATTCATCCTCAGATCATGTCTGTCTGCCTCCTCCCCCCACCCCACACATTCTCTTTGGGACCCCACCCCCACCCACTCTGATGCAGGTCTTCCACCAGACAGGGTCTCACTCTATAGTTTGGGCTGTCCCAGCTGGCCTCAGATCCATGACAATCCTCTTGCCTCAGCATCCCAAGTGCTAAGACGACAGCTTTGTGCCTCTACTCCCTAGCTCCTTCTAGTGTCTTATTCCGACCTGAAAGCTCTGAAGCATTCACTCGT